TCAGAGCTGCAGAAGGATTTAGCTGAAAGGCTGTTTTTTCTTTATAATTTGCCTTTTTGTGACATGTTACCACACCAACTAACGACGGGTTCAAATCCTTTAAATGTTTGGATGAAGAACCCAAATCCATGACGAGGTGATCAGAAATCAGGAACAATGCAATGACTTTTTTTAAAAGTTCGCACATGTTCTTAGCAAAGAAAACGGACAGACGTGGAGCCTTCAGGAGGACACTGAAGGAAATGAGGTGTTCAGGGACATCGGGACGTCTCAGGTTAACAGCAGCAGCTTTTTGTTCTCCAAGGCAAAGTTTATCTTAATAGAGCAAAAAGGTGACAGCAACAGAGTGTCGCTACTTCAGCTTTTCTGAATCAGAACTTCTCCTTTGTGATTGCATTTGATTAACTAAATAAACTTTACCAAAACCTGTTGATGCACATTTGTTTTCCTATACATGTCATGATGGGTTTAGTTGTTTACAAGCCCACATGCAGAACACAATACAGGAGAGGTAGGATCAGTGTTAAATGGTTAAATGGTGAACACACTGGATCGGCAATGGTCTGGTCCGGGAAAAGCGACCGTGACGGCAACACCGGGTCGCTATGAGGAAGGAGCAGAGTGGTGAGTTCACGAGTCGTGGGAAAAAGGATGTCCCTCTGGGAGAACAGGCTGATCTTACTTGGACTGGTAGAACAGAGTCGTGGAGGGGAAGCACTGTATGTCCGGGGTCTCGGTTCTGGGTGGGTCCAGGAACAACGGAGGAGTGCGGCGGGGAGCGGACAGGCAGGCTTGGGTGCAGCGGAGAGACGGAGGAGTGGGACGGCCGCCAGCCGTGGAGCTCAGGAGGCAATGGCAAACAGCGGAGATGTGAGTCTGGGTAGACTTCACCTGGGATCTCCTCCAGGGACCACCTAGAAGGCGCAGGAGCAAACAAGGGTAAATACTATGATCAAAGATCATCAGAGAACACAGAGAGACGGGCTCAGAGGGCTGAGAGGTACCGTGACTGGCTAACACTCAGGCGACGCTGGACAGGCGACCCACTCCTTAAGTCTGCACCACTGATGAGGATGATTGCCATCAGCTGCTGATGATACTGGACCGCACTCAGAGGGTTAGGGTCTCAGAGGGTTAGCAGCTCTCAGAGGGTTAGGGTCTCAGAGGGTTAGGGTCTCAGAGGCAGCCAGGGCCATGCTGCCCCCCGGGAATCAGCTCTGTTCCAGCATCCAGAAATGAAGGAAACTTTGTGCTAATGAGCTGAGGAACTAAACTTTAAATTCCTGCTGTTTTCCTCCAGAACCAGCTCTGGTTTCCACTAAATGAGCTCTGTTCCCGCAGATGTTACAGACAGAAGCAGAAACAGGAGTTCAGGAGCTGGAAACAGCTTCACTCAGAAGAGAAACTCAAACATTTGGATCATTTTAGACTTTTTGTTCACTCAAACAGACCTGAGAGGACAATAAAAGGGATTAAAACACATTAAATTGTCTCTGATTTTATGGAAAATCCCTCTAAAAATATTAACTAATTATATGCAAAAATACTGCATAAATTCATTTGGGAATCAAATAAATCACTAAAAGAACTCCAAATAAATCTGACTAAACTTTGAATTTCTGCTTTTGTTTTAGAGCTTTTATATTTTGTTTTGTCACATTCTTTAGAGCTTCAATTTTTTGTCTTTTTTCTAGCTTTGGGTTAGGGTCAGATAAATTACTTAAATAACTCCAGATATATCAGAGTAAACTTTGAATTAGGTTTCTTCCTTCAGAACCAGCTCTGGTTTCCACTAAATGAGCTCTGTTCCCGCAGATGTTACAGACAGAAGTGGAAACAGGAGTTCAGGAGCTGGAAATGTGGAGTAAACATGAAGCTTGAATAAAAACAACGACAAAGCTTCATTTCAAACTGAATGGAAACAGTTTAATTAAGTTATGAAATCAATACATTTAAGAAATTTAAGCACGTTCACAGCTTCTCCTGTGCAGATTAAAAAAGACAAACAAAGCTCGACACCCCCATAAATGATGATCTCTTGTTTTAAATCAGAATTACAATCTTCCTCTGTGGTCGACGGGCCGCTGTAGGGAATCCCGACTGTCCCTGAACGCCACGAGCCCGTGTTCCATGGAAACAAAGAAAAAAAATGGTTTAGGAAGGCTAAGCTAAGTTTGTTCAGGCTGAGATCGGTTCTTTTCATAACAAAGATCCACAGATTTTAGACCTCCGTCAAAGTTATTCTGCTTTAAAAGACAATCAGCTAACATTTAAACCCTTTAACAGACAAAAACCGCTGCAAAAATACCACAAAAATGACACTTTTCCTTCAGATGAGTCTTATAAAACTTCTTCAGCCTTAAATAAACATTTCAAATGTGAATATTTGGGGGATTTTCTTTTTATTCTTACAAATTGATTATTCTTACTGATTTATTGGCATTATCATTATCACTTATTTTAGGTCTATATATATACAATATAGTTACATATGTGTATGCTTATATTTTGTGTGGAATTTTGTATACATACACACACACATATATATATCCTGTCTGGAGCCCGTTAATGACCTCCCTCCCGCACCTGTCCCTGATTTGAATCACCTGTTAAGCTAGCAGTCAATAAAAGCTGCATTTGGAAGTCAAAGTCCTCCAAGACCGACTGTTTGCTCTCCTCCGTGCTGAGACCAGCCCAAAGGGGACCCACTCACACCAGCGGACGGAACCAGAACCGAACCGACCCTGGACACAGACGGAACCAGAACCGAACCGACCCTGGACACGGACGGGACGCCAAC